GCCCGCCCGGGCGTGAGAATCCTCCTAGGTATTATGCAGTTTGGAAAGAGTTGCTCCAAGAGTCGCCACAATTGTGGAGGTTGCAGGCTGCAGAGTTTTCCATTATTCTGGCGACTTTCGGGGAATACATACATGTCCCTTCCTTCTCCTTGCACGCATGGCGCCCGGTTGCCATGGATGCACGCAACCTCACGACAGGTTTGGAGCATCATTCCCTTCTCCCTCCCTTCTTCCCTGCGACACATAACGCCTGATCACCGTAGATGCATGCAACCTCAGAACAGGTTTGGAGCGTCATTCCCGGATAAGAGTCCAAATCGACAAACCGACAGCTATGCCGCTTTATAGTACTCTATAGAGTCTTTACAAATTTGCAAGCATAACCCTGAGGCCGTGTTCTGTTTTTCCTCGGGGAAAATACTCACCAAATTCGCCCCATGTATTACCCCATTATCAGCATGGATCCAAGCTCTGTCCCGAAGAAATACAGTCATGAGGGGACATGGAGGGCAAAAGGTAGGTGGGCTCAGATCAGTGCAGAGAATGAGGTCATTCGAGGGGGTTCATTTCCCCCTCATCATCTGCTTCGCTTTGGAGGTTGGTCGTTAGAGAAAGAGCAGTCTGCCAAACTCTTCGTTTCTCAAAATTGCAGGGCACTTTGTCGCCGGCTACCTTCTTCCCCTGAGCTTACCTCCTCCCCGCGATTATCATGAACATATGCAAACCCTGTTCCGGTTCAAATACAGTAATGACGCTGGGCCGTTGTTCAGATAAAAAGGACTCGCTAGCGTCTCATAACTGACATCAGTTTGTTCACAATTTGTTTGCCTGCTGTGCATCTTTCTCCCTTTTGGGGGGATTCTCGCTCTGTCGATCAGGTCGTTCACACGTATTCTTCTTCGTGTTTTTGGCTGATGGATGCAGATTACTATGGATCCAGGCTTGGTATCAAAGAGGAAGGAGCTGATCACAGATGCAGCAAGGTCACTAGACAGGGCAAAGATGCTAAGATTCGATGAGAGGTCTGGAAACCTATATGTGACAGACCTGGGCCGAGTGGCGAGTCACTATTACATTCAGTACACCAGCGTCGAGACATACAATGAGCTCTTCAAGCCACATATGAGTGACAGTGAGGTGAGTCCCAAGGCAGCAGACAGTCCTTTTTTTTTGTTGAAAAAACAGGACCTTATGGGCGGCGAGGAGGGCATATGGGAAGCTTTGGAGCCAGGCCCATAGGGTCCTTCCTTATAAGGTCCCTTTCCACAGACTAGGATATTAGACTCTGATATTTGGGTTATGTATGCTACCTGACTTGCCTGACCCGTCTAGGATATTCCACCTGATGCGTGTAGCGTATTCGGGTTATGTATGCCACCGGTCTTGCCTGCGGAAAAGCAACCAGGTTCTTAATGGCAAGTGAGAGGAAAAGGACGTGTTTCAGTGTGTGTAACTTCGCGAACCGTGTGGTGCAAGCAGAGTTGGACATAACCTGAGCTTTTCTTTGTCTTATGGCGATTTTCGGATCGTTCATAAATTCATAATCATTCACGTTTCCAATTTGACGCAAATAGTGCTTTCTGTTTACACACTGTGCACCCAAGATTGCCGATAAACCTTAGCAGCAAGCAGTCAAACAGACTGTGTGGAGATTCAAGGGAGCCAGTTCTGGGCTGTTGTTGTACATAACGCAGCTCTAGTTTGTGCATTAGAACTCTTGGGGGAGACAATAGTGTGTTCTGCTTTTGGGAAATTTGGGACACAGACTACTGAGGTGAGTGTCACTTGTATAGGAACATTGCCAAAGCTGATGTGGCACAGGACATGACTGCATTTGAGAGATTGCGGTGCTGATGAATTCGATGTTCCTCCACAGCACGTCAAGTCAACTGGAGGTTGAGAGATTGCGGTGGTGATGAATTCAAAGAATCTTCTCAGATGAACTTTTAATAGGTTTTTAACTTTTTATGTCTGCTTTGTAACACACAGACCTTTTTGCACAAGTTCACAGGCTATGGGAATCACTTGACACTTGGAAATGAATGAGAATAAATTTCAATGAAGCTTGAACTTTGAAATTTGCAGCCGCATGTCCTTCCGTACATCCGTTCCGTTGAAACTGGAACGATACAGAGAAAGAAGATTAGCATGGCCCCTGCGCAAGGATGATGTGCATAAATCGAGAAATGCCCCCCCCCCCCCCCCCCNTCCACCCCACAAATATTAGGGTATCGCAAGGAGAGGGAGCGGGGATACCCCTGTGGGGGCCCTGTGAAGGAGAGGGGAGGGGGGGGGGGGGGGGGTTTTTTTTTTTTATTAGGAGGGCGGAGAGGGAAGGAGACGAAGAGAGGAATAGACCGGCCATAGATTAACCCATCGACGCCAGAGAAAGAGACAAACCCCCCCCCCCCCCCCAAAAAAAAAAGAATCCGCATGCCTGCCTGTACATTAGCTGAGTTTGCGGATCATCCGTGAATCATTTACGTTTGCGGTTATAGGATCTAAATCATACTTGCGGCGCATCACGTGCGGGCGAGTTGCGCATGTGCGGCGCATAGCGCACGTGATGCAGCACACCCCAATAAATAGGGTCGATTAACAATTTCGGAAAGGGCAGGCTGTGGTAGCCATACGTGCCCCTCCCTTCTTGAAAATTTTAAGTGCACAGGAACAAAAGAAACTGGGGCCACATAGTAGTACTCATTGGATCCAGTCTCTTTTCTGAAGGGCCCCCAGCAGAGAATCAGCAAGGGCCCCATTTCCTAACAGAGACGTTCATCGAATTTCAGGTGGGACATGAGCAGGCCAGCAATATACATTCTGGTTCGAATTGAGGTCTGTGTTCCAGCAGTAATGGGTTACTACTACTTACTACGGTGGCTCTCTCTTTGTTTTTTTTTCCCTTTTCTTACGTGCAGTGGCCCTAAGGGCCTCGCTCCACTAGTCACCACTTGCACAAAAGACAAAACATATGGCGGCGTATGGTTCCATGTTCTAGCAGAAGATTCATTCTAGTTTTGCACATTTGGCGAGTTGTGGACTGAAGCCCTGAAAATCACGTGCTGAGTTAGTAACCCATAACTGCTGAAACAAGGACCTGAATTCAAATCTACACCATATATAGTTGGCCTGCTGGTGCTCTATGTCCGACGACTGCCTCTTTCTTGGCGAGGAGACCCTTGCTAATTATCTGTAGGGGCCTTTCGGATTACCCGCAGGGGTTTTCTGATTTATGTGAAAGGGCTCTTTGCTCTCTCCTTTCGGATTACCCACAGGGGTTTTCTGATTTATGTGAAAGGGCTCTTTGCTCTCTCTCTCTCTCTCGCGCGCGCGCGTCACTAGTGCACCACTAATTTGCGCATGGTGCATGGTGCACGCGCACTGCATGGCGTGAGTATGATCTAAATCAGTGTTGGGCCAGCAACCGGCCGGTTGAACCGACCCGGACCGGACCGGATTGCCCCAGGTCCGGAATTCCTGTTGGGCTCAAAACTGGTCCTTTTTTTTCTTTTTTTAATGAAAGCAGCGCTCGACTGCCTTTGCCGAACAAAGAAAACCGTGCACTCAAAAACTTTTATCTTGTTGGGGGGGAGGGTTATGTTGGGGGTGGGGTGTTAGTGGCGGTGTTACAGCAGCCATGGTTATGGCGACCGGTGGGGTGAAGAGGAAGGAGTAGGAGACGACTACGATGATGATGAAGAAGAAGAAGAAGAAGAAGAAGAAGAAGAAGAAGAAGAAGAAGAAGAAAAAGGTGGGTGTGGCTATGGCTGCCAGAAGGGGAAGAAGAGAAACATCAGGAGAGGAGGAGGAAGGAAATGAGGAGGAGAGGAGGAAAGAAAAGGAGAACATGAAAAAGAGGAGAAGGAGAAGAAGAGTAGGAGGCGGAGCAGGGGTGGGGTTTGTGTGACGACAGGGGGTGGGGTGGTGTGAATGTCAACAGGCAAGGTCGACTTTTCGTTGTTTTCTCTGGAAAAAAAAAGGAAACGAAGTTGACTGGAGGAGGAAAAGATAAGAAGAGGAGAGGAGGATGAAGAAGAAGAGGAGGAGGAGGAGAAGAACAGAGGAAGAGGAGAAGAAGAAGAAGACGCAGAGGAGGAGAAGAGTAGGCGGTGGAGGGGGCGGGGTTTGCGTGACAATGGGGGGTGGTGACGACGGGCGGGGTCGACAAAAAAGCGAAGGGGAGTGGAGGAGGAAAGTATGAGAAGAGGAGAGGAAGAGAGGGCGGGGCTTGCGTGACAATGGGGGGTGGTGACTACGGGCAGGGTCGACAAAAAGGCAAAGGGGAGTGGAGGAGGAAAGGGTGAGAAGAGGAGAGGAAGAGAAGAAGAAGCGGAGGGGGAGGAGAATAAGACGAGCAGGAGGTGAAGAAGAGTCGGAGGAGGTGGTGGCGGAGGGGTTTGCCTGTTGATTGGGGGCGTGGGGGGTCCATCTCCACGGGCAACGTTGTTTTTTGTCAGACAAAAGAAAAGAAAAAAACGAAGGGGAGTTGAGGAGGAGGGGGAAGAAGAAGAGGAGGAGGGGGAAGAAGAAGAGGAGGAGGAGGAGGATAAGAAAGAGGAGGAGGAGGAAAAGAAGAAGAAGAAGAAGAAGAAGAAGAAGAAGAAGATGATGACAATGATGATGATGATGAATAGGAGAGAAGGAAGGAAGACGTAGTGGAGGACGAGGAGAAAAAGAAGAAGAAGAAGAGAGGAGGCTCGCATCTCTCTCTCTCTCTCTCACACACACACGCAAACACACACGCACACACACACACACACACACACACACACACACACACACACATGCAAACACACACACACACACACACACACACACACACACACATGCCGCTCAACCACAATCAACGTGGGCAGCCTTGTGCGTAAGAGGCACAGTAAAGGGGTAGTTGCAAGAACAATGAAAGGGGCACCCCAAGGACAACCAAAAAACTGTCTAATTATAAAATTGCTTTAATATGTTGGACATCTCAAATGCTCTCGTTGTCTGCAATAGGACAAAGACTGCTTTGATTCTGAATCTATTCACCTGGGTGGAATTGGGGCTGTTGTGGGGAAAATCTAACACACACACACACACACACACACACACACACACACACACACACACACACACACACACACACACACACACAAGCACACCTTGACTCATGATGGCGGGCTCGCGCAGCAGCACAGCAGCACTGAGCGTCTCCCTCGACGATGATGGCGAGCGTGGCGCAGCACTGGATGGTGCGTCTCTGAGTGTGAAACAGGCATGATGAGGTCGCGCAGCGCCCTGCGGGAGGCTTCAAACATGTGCCAACGTCGAAGCCGAGGAGGGGGGGCAGTGTAGATTTCCGCACGAACTGCCCCCTAAGTTTGAATTGCAGCCGATCTTGGCCGCAGATCAACAAAGATCAATGGCTAAGATTGGGCGCTTTTTGTTTCATTAAAAAAGGGGCCTACCGGCCCCAGTTCTTATGTTTCGTGACCCCGACGAGGTCTACAAGGTTGAAAAAGCAACACAGGCCCCCCCCAAAAAAATTCCCGTCCCCAGCGAAAATGCGCTGGGGGAGCCGGGAGCCAACCAGGATGGACGACCGGCCGGTCCAACCGGGAGGCTCCCGGTCGGGGAGGGGTCCCTGGTCGAACTGGAGACCAACACTGATCTAAATAGTCGTTTCCGTTACCTGTGTCATCGCACATTGCATAGAAGCCTCTGTCAGCCTGGAACCAGAGCCAGTTATTGACTCTGTGTCGCTGTTTTGACGAACTCTGTGATGTTTCTCCATTGTTCTGTTGTTCCTGTTGATCTTCTCACTTTCAGTGCATGGCTTTGTGCATGCCAGAATCGCCGGTTCAAATCCGTGCTTGCGCGTAGGAGGGCTTAGGCCCAGATGTACGGATCCATAACTACTGTGGAAGGCTCCCGTGAACTGCCGGGCAGCACAGCGTAAGGTATCCCGGAGAAGTGAGCGTACCAGTGGGGGTTAACGTACTGATTGGAGTGAAGTGTGCGAGATATGCAGTGTCCGTGGGTGTTGAGTGTGGTGTGTGTCAAGTTGGACACTACAGCGTTGCAGGGGTGGGGTGGATATCACGACCGCTATGAGTATGGTTCCACTTTCGAACACTGTGTGCTGGATGTAGTGGTTAAGAGACTTGGCTCTGAACAGTGTGTGCTGGCTGTAGTGGTTAAGAGACTCGGCTCTTGAGGACTAGGTCGCCGGTTCAAATCCGTGCGTGCACGGAGGAGGGCCTCGACCCAAATGTACGGATCCATATCTACTTTGTGCATGCATGTTTGCTGTTCATGCTGTTGTGTACCTGTTTTTTTTTTTTTTTTGGGTTGTTGTTGCGTAACTGTTAATGATGCAGTTGTTCAACACATGAACTGAGAGATGTAGAAAAAACTTCAAAAAAGGACGGAAAAAAACACAAGCTTACGTGCTATGGGAAAAAAGGGAGGGAAAAAAAAAAACACAAGCTTACGTGCTATGGGAAAAAAGGGAGGGAAAAAAAAAACACAAGCTTACGTGCTTATGGGAATCACTCAACACTTGCAAAAGTTGTTTGAGTGCACATAGTGACATCTGTACACCCCGGTCAAATTTGCAGATCATTCATGATCATTTAAGTTTTCCAATTTGACGCAAATAGTGCTCTGTTTACATGTCATAGCATTCTGAATGGAAACCTATGTTATTGTATTCTGAATGGAAGCCTCTGTCAACCTGGAATCATCAGAGTCACCTCTACTCTGTGCCTCCGTTATGATTCTTCAATGTTGTGATATCTGCATCACACTTCTCCGGTCCTTCTCATCATCTCATGTTTTTGGCATGTGGCTGTGTGCGTGTATGTTTGCCTTTCGCTGTTGCTGTGTGCAACTGTTTGTGATGCAGTTGATCAACTTGGTGGCACATTCTTCAGAGTTTGAAAATATTGTTGTGAGAGAGGAGGAGCTGCCAGAGCTGTCTGCATTGCTTGGGATGTGTCCCCTGGAGGTCCGTGGCGGAGCAGAGGACAAGTATGGGAAAGCCAACATCTTGATTCAGGCAAGTGGGACTGGTGTGTAGGAGAGTGTTAGGAATGACAGGGTTGGAGGGAGAGAGTGAAAGTATTGTCTCCCCCAGCAGACCTTTCTGCTTTCGTATGTAGTGCTCAGTTCTTAGGGAAAGCCTTCGTCAGTGATATGCATGCGCCTTACCGCCGTGTGTAGAGTGTGTGGACTGTGTTGCGAAAGCGGGGGGGATTTAGCCAACCATCATACGGTAAGAGGACAAGTATGGGAAAACCAAAATCTTGATTCAGGCAAGTGGGACTGGTTTGTATAAGAGTGTTAGGAATGACAGGGTTGGAGGGAGAGTGTGGAAGTATCGTCTCCCCCAGCAGACCTTTATGCTTTCTCATGTAGTGCTCAGCTAGGGAAAGCCTACGTCAGTGATCTGCACATGCGTCCTGTGTCGAGTGTGCGGACTCTGTGTTGTGGTGAATGACATCCATCATACATCGTTTTACCGTTGTCAATCCATCGTACGTCTTATGTAGAGTGTGCAGGCTTCTGGGCCTTGGTCAGTAGTATGCATCTCTTTCCATACGATCTAAACACTTTTCTATCTTTCATACTACGCTGCCATGCTTGTTGCTTTGTGCCATACCATGTATGTTGTTTCCGGAAAGCAGGGGGGGGGGGGCTATGGTGTCGAGCTCAGGAGTGTCCTGCAGGTCTGACCTGGGGAGGGAAGTGGCTTAGGGCAAACAAAGCTGCAGACAACCGTGTCCTTTTCGTTGTTGCATCACAGGGATGGAGGGTGTTGCAGAGAACATTTTCACAGAAAAAAACACATTTACAGGACATGACTTTGCGGCAGTGGGCCTCTTGTTATCGTCCCGAGATTGGAACCGGGACTACCTGTGACTGATTCATCGCTGCTTGTTTTATAAAGTCGAAGTGTTGAGGACTACAAAATGTTCACCCACTTTTTTGATTGTGTAGCATAGGAGTGAGAATCCTACCTTCTTCCCGCGAATACAATGTACGGTCATTATTATAGCTGTGTGTAGACTGAAACATACCCAAGGTACAGCTATAATTACCGTACGTTGTATTCGGGGGAAGAAGGTAGTAACAAGCCACCAAATGCACAGTCACCACTGATCAGGGCCAATGCCAACTACCATCTTCAGCCGAATAAAATAGAACAGCCGGTAATTATGACCGTATCTGGACTGGAAGTTGGACCACATACGGCTATAAAGACCGGGTGTTCTATTCGGGTGAAGACGGTAGTCCAGGTGGCTGATCTGAATGGAGAGGTTCTTGTTGTCAGTAAAGGAATGCTGTTTATGACTTTACATGGAGCGAAATAACTATTTCGGAACAATTATTCCACGAGGCCGTGACCCTAATCCTTCTTCGACCCGGAATCATGCTGTGCATGCGTCTGACTCCAAGCTTGTACCTGGCGCACTGTTCCTGCTGTGCACCAGGAGGCAGCTAATTGTCATAATGTTCTCTTTTCCTTTTTTTATTCCCTTTCCTTTTTTCCTTTTTTGAAGTTTTTTCCTTTTTTCCTTCTTTCGGGGTCATATGTGAACCTGTGTGTCAGGAGTTGGGGAATCTTTGTGGTGTCTTTTGCCTTTTTACTTTTTTAGGGGGGGGGGGGGAGGCGGAGCAGTCACCGATTATTTCATTGAAGAGGGTTGGTTCAACTTGGTTCCCTTACTCGACCACCTCTGTGCTGAGCAAGGCATCCATCGGCGAATTTGGCACCCCCATGATTCTGTTTGAGAATACAGAGGGTATCATTCGAATTGTGTTAAACATTGCATCTTTTTGGGAATACAGAGGGGGGTACCTCATTCAAATTGTGTTAAACATTTCATCTGCTCATGAAAAAGAACCGCTGCCCACGCCACTGCCCACACCATCCTCTCGGCATGTAGTATTCCTTCTCTCGCTGTTAGCCATCCAGTGCCTTGCAAAGTCTATCGAAGCCTTACAATCATTAAGATGGTCAATCTGTCCCAGTGCCATGTAAGAGGTTTCCTTGTTCAGATAGCAGGTGAATCGAGGTTCGCCAATTTTGCCTTCCATCCACTTCTCCCCATCTGGTCCTTTGTGAAGTGGTTGCTCGGATTCGTCAATCTGTAGATTCTGTACTCTTCTTCCCAGCTGTTTCACCTCCTAGGTCATGTGGAATGGGAGGACTTCAGTGATGACCACTGTTGATGTTCAATTTTCCATTTTTTTTCAATTTTTTTCTTTTTTTTTCCTTTGATTTGATCACTGTTGATTTTCGATTTTTCATGGAATGTTGTTTTTTTTTTCTTTCCCTTCAGGTGTATCTGTCGCGGATTCAAGTTGAGGCATTCTCTTTGATTGCAGACAGTGCATACATAAATGCTAGCTTGGGGCGAATCATGCGCGCTCTGTTCGAGATAACTCTTCGTCGTGGTTGGTGCTCCATGGCTGGTTTGCTGCTGGAATACTCCAAGGCTGTTGACAAACGGATCTGGCCTCATCAGCATCCTCTTCGTCAATTTGAGTCTCTGCTTTCGGCAGAGGTAGGGAGGCCTTTCTCTAACCATTATGAAAAAATACCATGCAAGAGAGAACATGTTTGCGTCTTCGTCGTCCCTTGCATGAGCTGGAAGATGATAGAAAAACCATCTTACCTCCCCTTCCCCCCTTCCCGCTTCCCAAAGGAAAAAGTCAAATGCGAGTTGAAGTTTCTTCAGTGCTGTTGCGGTGCAGTCACGAAGTAAATCGGAGTGGCGTGTTGTTTGTGGCATCATGTATTTTCATTGTTCTGTATTCCATACCCTCTGCACCCCTTGGCCATTCCCGGAATGCGGGTGTCGTTTTTGTTTTGTGGGATGGAGGGAGGGAAATAGGAGGTAGTTCGATACGCATCCTTCCTTCTAACTGTGGTTTGAGGAATGTCTTGTGCTGTGTGCATGTATTGTTGTTGATTTCGAAGGATGCCGAAATCCGAAAGCACAAAGAAGAAGATTATATTGCCACTCCTGCGCAAGGATGACATGCACAAATTAAGGAGCTCTGTTCAACGATCGCAATTTTGAATTTTCAGAATTCCGCCCCCCTTGCAACGCCCCCCCCCCCCCCTTCTCCCGCGAAGGGTGTTTTTCAGTGGTGATGATTTCCTTCTACGTGTGAAAGCTCGAGCTGAAGGATTAAGATTCCAGTACTGGCTTCCACATGCACAAGGGCAATGATGGATAGGAAAGACATTACTAAGGGTCTGGACTCTGGGGCCATGGATGGAGGAAAGAGAGACAAGAAGGGGCAAGGAAAAACATCTGTGGATCATGGAAACACCAGACGAACAATGGCAAATGAATGCAATGGATAATGGATAAATGGAAATACAGAAGCAGCAATAGCGATGCTTGTTTTCCCTCTTTTTAACATAGTTTATATTATATATTCCTGGCTGAAAACTGAGCTGAGTGTCTCTTACATGAGTTGCCAACTTCATCCTTCTGAGCTGAGTGTCTCTTACATGAGTTGCTAACTCCATCCTTCTCCCTGTTATGGTCGATAGAACTCGAAACAGCAGCATCGATTACTTTCCCTCCAAAAAGGATTCGTCTCTGCTCCACCCCTTACATGACCGCCTGAGCGCGACGGCGAAAAAATTCTATGATTCAAATCATTTGGTTTTCCATTTCTTGGATTTTTTTTGTATGTGACATTGTGACGTGTATTCACCTTGCGGAAAGTTAGTGATACAAAGTGGTTGGCAAGTGTACGATTCCCATTAGAAGAGTGGTCGACGTTCCTCACTCCGGCCCTGCAATCCTGTTGCAGGTTGTCCAGGTCACACACCTGCCAATAATGGGTGGTGTGCGTGTGGACAGGTGCGCGTGCGCGCGCGCTAGAGAGAGAGAGAGAGAGAGAGAGAGAGAGAGAGAGAGAGAGAGAGAGAGAGAGAGAGAGAGAGAGAGAGAGAGATTTACAATTTGTGAGAGGGAATGAATGTGTTTCAGGTCTTGATGAAGCTGGAGGAGCGTGGCGCTGATATGAATCGGCTTTATGACATGGATGAGAAAGAAATTGGAGCTCTGATCAGACATCCCCATGCTGGCAAGGTACGTTCTGTAATCCTATTGCTATTGGTTTGCCCAAAGTTAAGAAAAAGGAAAAGTTTCTCTGAGTTTAGTGCATAGCCTGTTTGGGCAAGATGGCATGCAAATATAATGTAAGTCACAAAATTTTGCAATTGCAAATCTAACAACAGATACAACATGCAATTGTTGCCTAAAGATGATGCCTGTGGTATAGCCGCGTACTATAACAGGGAGAAGGATGGAGTGAGCTGAGTGTCTCTTACATGAGTTGCTAACTCCATCCTTCTTCCTCGTAGGTCTGATTACTCGTGATTGTCATCATTTCCAATGTGGGGTGAGGTGGCATGATCGAAAGTTGCCAGGGGAGCAAGGCAGGGGTGGGAGGAGGAAGAAATTTTCAAAAAAGCAACATGGATATATGACACTGTTCTTTATGCCTTGGTTGCTTCACATGCTTTCTTTTTTGACAGTGTCACCTAGAAAGCTGTAGAAAGACGGTCCTGTTCTTCAACGGTGCTTTGCTAGAAATTATGAAGATGTTATGATATCCAAGAATCATAAATATTTGCATCCATTACACGGGCAATCTTGTGCAAGAACTCGACTGCCCGCCGCAAACCCGCGATTCGGAGGCAGGGCGGAAGCCCATAATGCATTATTTCATCAGGGCCCTTCCCCAAAGATTGACAACCCTCTTGGGCCCCAAGAGGAAGCAACTGCGAACCTTCACGGTCTTGGCAAAGAGGCCCTACGGTTGGAGCAGGAGCTGCAGACAATTGGGCAGCCTAGCGGGGTAGAGGTGAATCCATCGGATTTTCCCCATTGCGACAACACAGGAGAAGAGGGAAGATATGCGCTCAAGTCATGGGTCTGGCAAGGTAGGTAGGTACTATCAGGTGAGCGAATATGCATAGGGACTGCAATGTTGAGTACAAGCCTTCTTCACCGCGAATCCTGTGAGCATTCCTGGCCTCATGATGGCTTATCCGAGAAGTATAGCGGGAAAACCTGGAAAAGGCGGAAATATAAAAACACAGGTGAATGCTAGGGAGTCTTACTTTCGCAGTGTGTTTCTAACTGTGGATTTTTCTACTGGCATGGCTGTCAAAAGCGCCTTGTAGGGGTTTCTTGCGACAGTCTTCGATAAGGAGGACAAAGGAGGAGGAGGAGGAAGCTGAAGAGGAAGAGGAGGAGGAGGAGAGAGAGAGAGGAGAAGGGGATGGCAGAAGGGTTGGGTGAGGGCAAGGAGGAAGGAAGGAGGACAAGACAGAAAAGCACAAGTTTGTCGGTGATCATTGCTGATGTCAAACCAATTGTGCAAGTGTGTGCTCTGCTTGATTTCAACTTAACCATTTGATTCAACACTGATAATGAATTTGACATTGATGATTGCAGGTGGTTGCAGCGTGTGTAAGCTATTTGCCGTATATCCACCTTTCTGCGGTTGTCAGCCCACTAACGAGGTCGGTACTGCAGGTCAGTATCGTTCTGTTCTGATTGGCGCATAAGGTTTTAGTCATGAAGCCTGCCCTTCCCTTCCACCTTTCTCTCATGGGGCTGTTCATACCTGTGTTAAGCTGTATAGTGCGCTTCAAAATTGAAGAAAATCCTGGGTTTGGTGTGCTGTTCGAGTTCAGTTTCTCTACTTCAGGAATGCTCGACAGCAGTACCGCTTCTTGTAGCAAGTTTGTTTTGAGCTGGAAGGTAGGGGCAACCTGCTGGGCTGCCTCTGTCATCTTGCCTGAGGAACGTTCAAATTGTAATTCACTCTCTTCCTCCTAGACCTAGGTGATCCCTTTTTATGAAGTATTCTCTCTCTCTCTCTCTCTCTCTCTCTCTCTCTCTCTCTCTCTCTCTCTCTCTCTCTCTCTCTCTCTCTCTCTCTCTCTCTCTCTC